GTCAAAGGGTTCCAACAGAAGAAGGGAGTTGATTACAATGAAATCTTCTCTCCGGTTGTGAAGATGACTACTATCAGGTTGATCCTTGGTATCGTTGCTGCTGAAAATTTGCACTTAGAGCAGCTGGATGTAAAGACTGCTTTTCTTCATGGCAACCTTGAAGAAGACATTTACATGGCTCAACCGGTAGGTTTCTCAGTGTGTGGTAAGGAGAAGTTGGTGTGCAAACTCAAGAAAAGTCTATACGGACTGAAGCAAGCTCCTAGACAGTGGTACTTGAAGTTTGACAGTTTTATGCAGCGGAATGGGTACACTAGATGCAAGATGGACCATTGCTGTTACTTGAAGAAATTCGAGTCTTCATACATTATTCTTCTTTTGTATGTTGATGACATGTTGGTGGCTGGAGCAAACATGCAGGAGATCAACAAGCTCAAGAAGAAGTTGTCTGAAGAATTTGAGATGAAGGATTTAGGGGAGACGATACAGATTCTTGGGATGAGCATAGTCAGAGACAAGGTGGAAGGTACTTTAAAGCTTTCACAGCAGAAGTACATTCAGAAGGTCCTTGAGAAGTTCAGAATGACGGATGCCAAGCCAAGGAGTACACCGTTAGGAAGTCAGTTGAAACTCTCCAAGCAGCAGTCTCCGAAGACCGATGAAGACAAAGATGAGATGGCTAAAGTTCCTTATGCATCAGCAGTTGGCAGTTTGATGTATGCGATGGTGTCAACAAGGCCAGACATTGCTCATGCAGTGGGAGTTGTTAGCAGGTTTATGTCAAATCTAGGGAAGGAACATTGGGAAGGAGTCAAGTGGTTGCTACGCTACTTGAAAGGCACCTCTAGAACTGCTCTTTGTTTCAGGAGGAATGGGGCAATTCTAGAAGGTTTTGCAGATGCTGATTTGGGGGGCTGTCATGATTCCGGGAAGAGCACTACGAGTTACATATTCACTATTGGAGGTACGACAATCAGTTGGATGTCCAGATTACAGAAGAGTGTAGCTCTTTCAACCACAGAAGCAGAATATATGGCTATTGCTGAAGCGGCCAAGGAGATGATTTGGTTGAAGAACTTTCTTTCGGAGTTGGGCATGAAACAGGGGGATTGTGGTCTGTACTGTGACAACCAGAGTGCTATTCATCTCGCGAAGAATCCGGTGTTTCACAGCAGAACGAAACACATCAAGATGAGGTATCATTTCATTCGAGAATTGATTGAAGATGGTACTATAAATTTGAAGAAGATCCTTGGTACGAAGAATCCAGCAGACATGCTTACCAAGGCGGTGACAACGGAGAAGTTGAAGCTATGCATGGCTTCAACGGGCCTTCCAGATACTTGATGAGAAGGCGTGGACGAGAGAGAGAAAGAAATCAGGGGTTTTACAGAAGATACATGTTCTTGGATGGCAGAAAATTGTTGACCAAGCCTCCAAGTGGGAGATTGTTGAAGATGGAGTCTTGTTCAGAGTTTCAGAACTGATACCCGACCGGGTCAGATGAAGGACCCGACCGGGTATGTTGAAGCAGAGACCTGGGGACTCTCTGGAATGTGAGACCCGACCGGGTCAGGTGAAGGACCCGACCGGGTCAGATGATCGGTGAGCTTCTGTTTTGGAAACCCGCCCTGGTTTTCTACCCGGGTTTGTATTCTGTGAAGGAGACCCGACCGGGTCAAATAAGAGACCCGACCGGGTCAGTCGACGGGATTTTTAATTACAGGCTTAATTTTGGGCCTGCGGCTCTAATCTTTGTTTAGGTTTTCTTAAGCCTATAAAAACGACTCTTATGCATCTGTAAACCCTTGAGTGACGCTGATAATAATACATACTCTCTCTCGTTCGCCGTGGACTAGCACAATCAAATCGATTGTGTGAACCACGTTAATTCTTGTGTTCTTGCTCTTAATTTATCGTTTATCTTTGCCTAATCATAACATCAAAGGCATCAATGACTCGAAGGGCTGATGCAGGGGAGCAGGAGCTACTAGGATTTTCCTTGACGGAGGTTTCTGCTTCCTGTAATACGCTCACGACTACGTGCACGGGCTCCTTGTCCAAAATCGTAGATTTCAGGGAAAGGTGGTGGAGCTCGTCCAGAAGGAGGTCGAGTGCTTCGTCGTGGGAGTCAGACAGGAAACGGTCAAGGAACGAGAGGACTTCCGACAGGGCATCTACTTTGAGAGTGTAGCCCCTCATCTTTATATGCTTGTTTGCATATTTATTAGTTTACTAAATATGATTGTATAATCATATTTGTTTTGTTGAACTGGTTTCTACTCTTTAAAATAATTATTTTGGATTTTGTGTTAGTTTGTGTATCTTCATTTGATGCATTTATTTGCTCTATTTTTCAGGAATTGGAGTAGATGAAACATACAAGGCTAGTTTCATTTTGCTCTATCTTCATTTTATGTTGTGATTGTAGAGGTAACTTGCTCCAACTTTGTAGTAGTTTCTTTTTAATGTATCAATTCCCAGATAAAGCCCAAACAATGAATAAAAACAGTAAATATGTTATATCGTAATTAGTTTTAGAAGTAGAAGTTTGAGTTATGGGCCTACTTTGTTGTCACTTTGATATTTTTTGTAGATTCTGGAATGGATTTCATAGTGTGGTAGGATGCTTTCTCTACTCTACTCATAAATTGCTCATTTTTCTGATCTATTACATTCTTGAGTATTCTTACGTGTATACAACAACCAACATTACCTGCGGTGGGGGGTAAAGTATTCTTACGTGTATGGTTTCCTAATTTCCATTTATTCTGATTGCAATTCATCTTGATAGATAATTTAGTTCTAACTATTTTCTAACTCATGAATGTGCAGGGGATGGTGGCAGCTGCAACAACACTCAGTAGTAAGATGCCCAACAGGAGCCTTTTTGTATTCCCTTTTTTCTTCCTCTTTACTATAAACTTAATTCGTTTGACTAATATTTGGGGTTCTATTTTGGGTTTGGTTGATTTCTTCAGGTTACAGGTTATGGTAATTTTCTCTCGAAGAACCAGAAGGGTAGGCATGGTTATTTTTAGCATGCAGGCCGGAGTGATATTAAGTAGATGTAAAAATACAATAAACTTTGGAGAAAATCAGTAAGGCAAGTGAAGTTATATCTTAACGCAGGTGCATGTCTCCTTTACTTGGCTATTAAGTATATATTTCTTCGGTTGGCTCGGTGGAGGAGTGATATTATGTTGATCGGTTTACATCACTTCGGATTCAGGATGCACAAAATAATGTGGCAGCTCTAACATATTTTCGGTTGGCTGGTAATTAGAAAGTAGAAACCATATCCATGTTAAGTTTGAATCGAAGTTCTATATTCTATACGTACTTAGTACTTGCATAAATGGAAATCTATATCATTGTAATTTTGAAATTCATCTATGATTGATGGTTACTTTTTAGCAACAATATTTTGTTGTTCTCACACAACATTATTCATTGTAGCTATCTAATGTATCTTGATTTTATTTCTTTCAGATATTGAAAAGCTACCGACAAGTAGGAAGCACTATGTCTCATGTTGAATATGAACTGATTTAGTCATAGGTGGAGCTTAAGCGGTTGGAGGATTTCAAATTAATTTATTACAGATTTAGTTGACTTTGTAATATTGAAATGTGTGTAACATTTGAATTGTAAATGATATTTTTTTTTTATTTTAATAAAGTAGCGCTTTTTACTTTTCATACATTGTCATTTTTATTTTTTAAGTGATAATCTTTTTTGTGTGTGTGTGTGCATATATATGAACATTTATATATAATCATTATGTGATACCAATGTATCATAAATTTAATTGATACTAACGTGTCAAAATATAAAATGATATTATTCTATCATAATGGTTTATGATACTTAAGTGTCATAAATTAGTGACACTTTACCAGTGACACTAAATTTAGTGTGACAATTCCCGACCTTCTATGACACTTTTTTAGTGTCAGTAAAACTTTTTGTGACATTAATTTAGTGTCACTATAGACCATTTTTCTAGTAGTGCTTATTTGGAGGTGATTTCTGGTAGAGTTATGATGAATTTTGAAAACACGAAGTCAGTCAAATGTGAAATTAAAAAACATAGCATAATTTATATATATGAAGCACAATATTTTTAAATAATTTATTTAACTGTCTTCTCGACAGAATTTTAAGCTGAAATTTTGTTGACACAATCTTAACTTCATTAACAACATTTTAATAATCATCAAAAAATTCTGAGAACCACGCCAAAATGAGTTACCAAAAGGCGCATCCTGTCAAACCAGGATCATAGGATCATTCACCTGGTCTTATATTTTATGGACTTATACACAATGTGGGTATAGTATAGGTGTAACACCGTCCCCAAATTTATTTACTTTTAAGTGAATAAAGTATTGAACCTTATGGAATGGTTAATGAAGTTACGAAGATGTGGAATTTTATTAATGCTTTTGCGTGAATAGTAAATTTGCACGTGGGGCCCACACCGGGAGCAGGGACCGCCTGGTATTCCCGAGACCATACATTTTATTCATCTTGGTCGAGATAATGTTTATGTAGTGGTGGATAATTTATTTGGGCCAAAGAAAAGACATAATGTGGACCGATTGGTTAAAAGTGACTCAATTACGGTTTTAGTAATTTCACAGATAACAACCCGAAATGAATTACGGGGGCTTATAAATTAAAGTTGGGGAATATGTATTCATTATAAGGGCCATATTGATTGATAACACGTAATATATTTTATTTGACCCGTTAGAATAAAATATATTTTAAACAGTCCGAAAAATACAACTTTCGGGGCCGAATGTACACATTGAGACACAAAGGGATGACCTCCCACATGAGTGAGGGCCACCCCACGTTTTTGTGTGTTGAATTAGACAAGGGAAGGGCTGGGTTGACAAAGGAAAGAGGGTGGAAGAGATGCTTTTGGCATCTAAGTACAAAGAATGGACCCTCTCCCCATTTTGATTGGAAGATATCTTGCTCCATCATCCCACATGCCAACCCACCCTTACCCATTGACTTTGGAGGCTAAGTAAGGGAAAAGATAGCACTCTCACAATCCCCCATTCGAACTCCCAGAGATAAGAGAGAAGGAGAGAGCCACACAACCAAGAAAACAAAGGAAAGAGCAAGATGTCCGCAGGGTGAAACTCCAGTGCGTAAGGTTACTTGTTTGCTTCATATCTCGTGCTATACTCAACCAAATAAGGCGTGTGAGGTGCCCAGAGAAATCTCTAAAGAAGAGGAATCCGCCAAGGTCTGGTTTGCATCAATCGTAGTAGTGTAAGCCTTCCAAATCCTTGGAAGAAAACACAACCTCGCAGAAAACGGATTTGCTCCTCTAAAGTGAGTTTTGATCCCAAACTCTTTCTTTCGTTTTCCTTTTCCAAGTAATATGAACGATTGGTGGAACTATTTTACACTATTTCAAGTGTATAATATGCCCTTATGAAGTTGTTTTATTGACGTAAAGGTTAGATACTAACCTAGAACAAACCCCTCGGTACCCCTCGGCAGTACCCCTCGGTACCCCTCGGCACCCCTCGGCTAGATGCCCTCGGCAGTACCTCCTCGGTACCCCTCGGCAGTACCCCTCGGCAGTACCCCTCGGCTATGGTGCTCTCGGCACCCCTCGACCATGAGGGGTCTCTGCTATGATGCCCTCGACACTTCATTACGCCCCTGGACATATGTGACGGCCCAAGCTCCATGAAGTCCATAATACCTGATGTGTACCTTTGGCACTCTTTCCGAAGGCCTGAAACTCACGAGGACAATTGCTCTTGGACCAACATCACTATTGGAGGATTCGGGCTCGAATAAATAGCCTTCGGCAGGGGAGCCTTTGGCACATACATCAGGCCTTCGGCCATAAGCTTTAGGCCGAAGGGTCACCGCTTGACGAAGCTTCCTACTCTGGAAACAAGCAACCACCGCATACAATGCGGTGTCACGTCCAACCACCGCATTTATTGCGGTGCACATGCTATGTCGGTGTCAGCCCGATTGAAGTGACCCCCCACCATTGATTAGTTGACGCGTGTCCTCGCATTTAACACGCCTAGCGCTTATGGCTGCTATAAATAGAGCCTCCTTTCCCCTTTGTAAAGGATCCACATCTGAGATCCTAGATCAGAAGTTCATTAATAACATCAGACTCTCTCTCTCTTACTTGTTTGCTTTGACTTCTCTCTAAGTTATTTCCGCAATAACCCTCGGATAAGCTACCCCCGGGTACACTATCCATCATTTGGTGCTCTCGTTGAGAGGTCTGAACAATCAAGTAAGAAACCCTCCCATTCACCAAACACACCAAAAAAAAACCTACCAAAATTGCTGAAGTTACTGTAGAGGATCATTTTAGCTATTTTTCATATATATATTTTATTTATATTATTAATACAATATATTTTAAATTTAATTTTTTCATGAGGGAGAACTTCATAAATTTCACCAGAATCAACCGATTAAGTCAATTTTAGTGCTACTGAACGGCTTCTAGGTAATGTATTTATCTTGGTTAGAATATTTCTCGTTTCATTTTATTGAAGCATCTTTAATCTAGGAATGTCACTGTCTTAACTTTACAAAAATTAAAAAGAGAATATGATGTATTGATTAATTTGATATTGTTTTCATTTCATTCTAGGGGGAAAAGCGTGTAAAAAATTAATTCAAAAAGTGTTCAAACTCAATGATCAAATAATACAACTAAGCAAAAAAAAATTGAAATTGTGTTTCAGGATATTATGCTATCTTTCAAATGCTTCATTAACAATTATCATTATTTGATTATTATGAATAATAATTTCTAATGTGACATATCTCTTCCTTAAATTTTATTATGTTGATTACATTGATCCGCTAAGTTTGAATTGACTCATGGTCCTGTACAAGGTCGCTTTAAAAACATAGAAACAAATGCTTCCTCTGCCTCATAATTATCTCCTATCGCAACTGAGAAGTTAAGTGACGCACATAAGCATAAGATATTAGAATAACTGCCTTGCTGTAAAGAACCAATTACAGTCGCTAGAGTACAACCTCTGACGTACGTAGTCAAAACATAACAATTTGACTTGTACATCTACTCTAGTTTCAACCTATGTCTATTAATTCTGTGTGTTAATTGCTTTTCCCACCATTCCCCAACTGCCTGAAATAATATCGTTCTTTCAAGGTTTTCAAAACCCTAAGTTTGGGGGTCAGCATTTTCGGAGTTACACCTCACGATCGCTGGATCTATCCACATCTCAGTGGTGCACGCGAGAAATCAAGAGATAGCGGTCTAACAGAAATTTCCCTTCGTTACAACCATGAGTCCTTGACCGATTGAGGAGAATTTTAGACTTCCATAATTGATTAGCAGGTGTCTTTTTTAGATCTTAATACTAATGAATTACTATTATTTGAGGAGGATATAAGTGAAAAAGTGAACCTAAAAATTGATCTATCTTATAAATGGTAAAGTTAAATTGGGAACTAAAATAAGCAGCCAAGAGAGTACTATTTTACCCTAATAAAAGTAGATCATTAATATAATTATTGATTTTCTCTATCCTACCTTTTAAAAAGGGCATACTCAAAAAATGAATCAATTTTTTTTTTAAATTAAAAATGCTAAAGTCAAATTAGGAATTTAATTGAGGACAATAATATAATGAGTACCATAAATGTGAGGTGTATATATATATATATAAGTATATAACACATGCTAAATGCTGTATAAATCAAAGCTGATTCCCAATAGGAGCCAAGGGTGCATTGGACCACTAGGCAACGAATTTCAAAGCAAAGGATAACAAGGAAAACCATCGATCCCAGAATTCCATCGGGAAATGGGAGCTCCGGCGATGCATGCCAAGTCAGAGTCGGAGGTGACGAGCGTCGACGCCTACTCGCCGCCGCGATCCCCCCGGCGCGCGCTCTACTACGTGCAAAGCCCACCCCATGACCCGGAAAAGATGTCATACGGGTCGAGCCCCTGCGGGTCGCCCACCCGGAACTACCAGTACCACTGTTCCCCCATTCACCACTCCCGAGAGTCGTCCACCTCCAGATTCTCCGCCTACATTCACAAGACGACGGCCAGTAGAAATGTGAATCCGCCGCCGCCTTGGAAGCGACTGTCGCCGGAGACCGACCCCGATGACGGCCGGGAAGAGGACGAGGAAGAAGACGGGAAAGCCCATTCCCCCTTCAAGTTCTACCTCCTCTGTTTTCTGTTCTGTTTCGTTCTGCTCTTCTCCATCTTCTCCCTCATTCTCTGGGCTGCCAGCACGCCTTACGCGCCTAGAATCTCCGTCAAGGTATGAACTTTGTAAAGCTTTAATCTTTTCCCATAAATACATTTCTCCATTGTTTTGCAGAGATTTCTCCATTTTTAGTTAATTTTGGTGTGAAACGGTAAGTGTAACTCCGAGTTAGGTTTTCTTTTGACTCGCTACTGTGATGATCACGTGACTGGCAAAATCTTCCTATTTTGGACTCACATTTATGGTGTAGCTGATGATGATTCCCAGTTTTAGCAGCTATCTATCTGATCTCTATATTTCATCCTAATAAAACCCCCAAATTTCTCTCTTTTTGACGTTTGAAAATCATAATAGTAACGGATACGATGAAGTATGGAGAAAAAGATTTGAACTATGAATTGGGATGGGCTTGGGTTGGTTGCCCCGTTTACGTTTCCCATGCTCTAAAAGTAAAACTAATGGGGAACTTTCCTTAAAAGCTGGGAGACTGGTAATAATTCATACCTGATTTTTAACTCATGGGCTCGATGACATTTTGCTTTTTCAGTCAATAATTTTGGGGTCAACGAAGTAAGTGGGCTAAACAGGAAAAAAACTTATGCAAACGTTTAGTTTAGACTTCTTGTGTAAGCTGAATCGAATTGGTCCATAAATATTATTGTTTAAATTATACTCCCAAACCCAAATAAGATCCAAATATCCCATTTGGATGTCCCAAAATCAACTTTGGCTACATTCTCTTTTGAGATATCCCAAAATCAACTATTCATTTGGATAATGTTTGAATGGTAAAATATTCATTTACCTTTATGATCTTAATTAGTTGTCTATGCATAAACATTGATTTTCATACACTATACTATCGTATTTGGTTTGTGATTTGTATGTCTAGATAGACGGAAGTCAATGTTTGTAGTAATAAATTTTTGTCCGTCACATACATTTTTGTTGTATGGTGCTATATGTTTTCTATTTTTTTTTTATCTTAACAAACAGAATTTAAAATTAGATGATAATTTTTTTTCCAACTTTTCATCTACAAATATCAAAGAAAAAGTGTAGGCAGACACTATTCTATGGTACATTCTTATGTCACAAGTAATGTATACTCTGTAGATGATAAAAAGTTGTTCAACTTTTCATCACCATTATATTACCCCAATGTCACATAAAGAATACCTCAAAAAATTTTAAGAAATTAATTTTATTTTTGGTCCTACAATTTTGGTGTCAATTCCACCTTTAGTTCACGTGTTTTACTTTGTCCACTTTTGGTATTTGACTAATACTGATGGAGTATATGGCCTAGGAACCCCCGGCCCATAGACTCCCACTTCTCCTACACAAAGTCCATTGAGCCCAGAGAACAACTCAGGCCCAGATACAACGGCCCAAGCCTCAAAGTAGCCCAGAATACACACTGGGTGCCTTCGGCCTCCTTGGCCGAAGGCTCCAGAAACTCACGAAGTAGCCCTCTCTGACATACGAAGCCACTGGGAGAAAACGGCGAAAAACATGAGCCTTCGGCATTACCAAACCCCCGGCAACAGGGGAGCCTTCGGCTGAACTTAGCCCTCTGCCACTCGGGGCCTTCGGCTACACAGGGGTCCTTGGTTACACGGAGCCCTCGGCTACACAAGAAGCCTTCGGCCAAACATGCTCAAACATCGAAAATTCCTTTTGGGGACAGCCAACCACCGCATTTAATGCCACGTCACATCCGCCAACCGCATTCAATGCGGTGAACGTACCACTGCCGGTGCCACCAGGCTGATGTGACCCTTCGGCCGTTGGATTAATGACACGTGTACTCTCATCGCATTTATTGCTGCTATAAATAGCAGCCCATTTCTCCTTGTAAAACATCATCTGCATCTCAACTCCACATCTCGAGTTCATTTAATAAAATCGACTCTCTCTCCTCCTATTTGCTCTGACTTCTCTCTAAGTTATTCCCGCAATAACCCCGCGGATAAGATACCCCCCGGGTAGACTATCCATCAAATACTACTTCCGTCCCTTTTTTATTAGGACGGAAGAGGGTGACACGAGTTTTAAGAAAATTGAGTTTGTGTAGTTGATATTAATTGATAAAGTAAGAATAAAGTAAGAATGATTTTAAGCCACACAAACTTTATCAAATAAGGAATGAGATAATTAAATAGGGACATCCCAATATGATAAAACGAGACATTTAAAAGGGGACAGAGGAAGTATTTTGTAACTGTTTGCGGGTTTTTTTCCGTCAATTTTAACCATCGAAAACAATGTCGGAGGGACCATATATGGACGAAAACACAATAGTGATGTATAAAAAGTGGACATAGTGAAAGATGTTAACTAAATGTGGAATTAACTTTAAACTTGTTGGACCAAATGTAAAATTTATTCAATTTTTACGTGTGGATACTCATGAAATGAAGACTAAAACGGATCATTTTTTATGTACAATTAACTGTACAACTATGAAACAAACGTGTACAATTTCCCACCATCATGGGATGAGATAAAATAGTTGATGTGCGCATACATTTGTTTGTCAGACTGCATATTTTATTTTTTTGCCGAGTATATGACAGTGCAATGAATTAAGAAGTTAAAGGTGGTGGGATGACAGAGTATGAAATTCGAGCATTTTAACGTGCAAGCGGGAATCGACGGAAGCGGAGTGCAAACGGATTTGCTGAGTTTGAATTCAACGGTGAAGATCTTCTTTCGGAATCCCGCCACTTTCTTTGGCGTGCATGTTACGGCCACCCCTCTCCAGCTTTACTACTACAACCTCAACATTGCCACCGGTCACGTAAGTTGCCCCCTACTTCTAACCATCACATAAATTTGTACATTGAATGAATGAATGGTGAAACATCATTGATGAGTTATCTTAGAGCCTGTTTGGTAGCACGGAAATCGACTGTTTTGGCTGATTCTGCTGAAATTTATGAAGTTCTGGCTGAAGTGTCTGATTCTGATGATTTAAGAAAAACTTATTTTTTAAAATATATTCTTTTAATAAAATAAAGAAAAAATTATATGCAAAAATAGCTAAAATGGTAATCTACAGTAACTTCAGCCAATACAACCAGAAAAGTAACACCAACCTTACGTTTTCTGCTTATTACAAAATTAAGTGCGCTAAAAAAAATTACGTATTTGGTGAAAAAACTGGCTGATAATCCTGATAAGCCGAAAAAGGAGATCACCAAACGGGCTCTTAATTTACAAACATCACCAAAAGAGGCCGGAAAGGGAGTGTACCAACCAACCATGTCTCCTTTCCCTAGGATTTCCATTGGAGGAATTGAACTACACCAATTACATGCATTGAGTAAATGAGTAATATAGTTCCCCTGTCCCACATCAATACAATGGAACGCGTTTACTTCTTAGCCGCCTTCGTATCTACTCCGTATTAGACTATTATTGCGCTTTCTTCTTGGTTTCACATTGAGTAATTATTAGTTGTGTCTTTATTTGCCTTCACAACTCCCTCCGCTGGCCCTCCTTTTCATATCATACTCTATAAATGCTGGTGTAAACACAAATCCTTTTGGTGCCCGCTTTTCTGGTGATGTGAGTATGAAACAATATTACACTGATTTAACTAGTTATTTTGGTAGTTTAACTAATTGTCTATTGTCACCAAAAGCAAATTTGTAAATGTCACACGACTCACTCACACATGGCACAATATGTTTCTCCATTTATTCATTTTTATAAATACCATGATCGTAAAAAATTCAATCCAAATCCTTGTGAGTAGTAAATTTGAATCGCTCACAGAAGAAGCTGATCGTAACAAATTGACCCCCTTGTCCCCATGTTCCTATCGTTGACAAATTTCGGTTTTAGGATTTCATATCATATGATACACCTTGTTGTTCGACTTAAAGTGTCCATGACAATATATCTCATCATTTATATACGAAGTATAATTTATATACGTAGTATAACACAACCCAAGAATCCATGATCATAATAATATTACTATATGTTAGTTAGAACGTTTGAACTTTGGCAAACGTTAATAAATGGTACAAGTGTGTTGAGTTAGGTACTTAGGTGCAGTTGATTAACATAATATCCAAATGAACGAATGGAATAAACGTTGAAAAGAAGAGAGCAGCAGTAGTAATAACAAGCAAAAGCATATGAGTGTAAAACTTCGTATTTCACATTTTCACTACAAGTATGGGAGAATGAACAAGAATATATATGCTTCTTTCACTACATGTTTAAACCCGCGTTTCCTTTTAGAAACATTGTATTTATCCACATTATGGACTAATTTTAAAAGTGAAGTCTTTGTCTTGAGATTTCTCCATCCAAACAGAGCCTAAAGAACTATAGATTTGTGCAACTTCCAATTTCGGCGTGGGTAATAAAGCATATATATGCAGATTAAAAACTTCTATGAGGCAAGGAAAAGAAATCGGGTATTGGTGACAGTGGTGGAAGGATACCAGATTCCGGTATATGGGGCGGTGCCGATCGTCGGTGGTGGTGACGACGGCAACACTGTGTCTGTACCGCTCAACCTAACTTTTGTCATCCGCTCACGGGCCTACATTCTGGGCCGGCTGGTCAAGTCCAAATTCTACACCCATGTTTTGTGCCAAGTTGCTCTTAGCGGAGACCATGTCGGCAAGCCCATTAACCTGATGACTCCCGAATCTTGTACTTATCATTGAAGTATTGATCATATTTATATTGCTTAAATTATTAATTTACTGCATCTTCTTGTAATGCAGTTATAGTTATCCGGGATGTCAAACTAATCCGGCATAGCTAATTTTATTGTAGTAAAATATCCACCAAAACATGGCTGGGGTTTTCTAACTTTTTCGTAATATGTTGTTTAATTCGGAGTACTAGTTGTAGATCTGATTGGGAGAATGTCCAAAACAGGAGTAAAAACATTTTAGAATTCCAAAATAGAATGGTATGTTATCATTTCTTAAATAGAAATAGTTACTATGAAATTTCGAAACTATAATTACTCATGACTATAATTACTCATGTTTCGAAACTAAAAACACAAACGTTTTACTCCTATTCTTTTCGTACTTTCTAAGTGAGTGTAGTGCTATAACGCTATTATTATTATTATAAGGATCAAGTTCAGATCCAATCATTAAAGCTCGAACTCCACCCGACATATCATTGCTATGATTTAAACTTGTGCTTATTGTACTCCTATTTGAGTTTAACAAAACGAACTTCTTCGACTCGATACACTAAATGAATTTTGAATGCTGCACAAGTGTAGTAAATCCGAGACACACTATGGTAATTAGAAGGTTCATCCGAGTTCAAGCTCGATAACCTTGACTCGAGTTTTGACTTATAGCGATTACTCCCGCAAGGTGCGAGAGTTTGCCCAATATTAAAATAATATTGCCATTTGTAATAAAAACTGTCATATGAAAAATTGTTAGGAGAGTTTTGTAAATAGCTAATGAAATTGTACATATTGAGTCTTTTTGGTGACTCTGATTTTTCGGTTAATAAGGTTTATCAGCCAACTTTTTAATTAAACACGTAATTCTTGATTTCGGGCGCTGAAGGTTGTAGTTACTTTTTGGCTGTATTGGCCGAAGTTACTGTAAATGACTATTTTAGTTATTTTCATATATTTTTTCTTTATATTATTAATAAAATATATTTTAAATATAATTTATTCGTAAATCAACCAAATCGGTCAATACAACCACTTCAGCCAGAAATTTATAAATTTCAGCAGAATCAACCAATTCATCCACTTTCAGTGTAACCAAACGAGCTCATCATATACTGCGTATATTTTAAAAATCGTCGGAATAATAATATTACATAAAAGATTACTTTCATTTAAGATTAGTAAAAATATATCTCCATATTTATAATAATGCATTAAATTAAATAAAATTTGAGTATTTTAAGAAAAAAATAACTCTTAAATTGTAAAAGATCATAAACTATAAAGTGAATGAGAAGTACATCATTATTCATAGATGAAATAAAATAATATAATACTACCTCTGTCCCCCTATGTTTGGTACAAGAGAAAGTGACACAGTTATTAATAAAAGTAGGTTTATGTAGTTGATATTGAATTGATAAAGTAACACTAAAGTATGAATGATTTAGAATCACACAAACTTTACTAAATAAGGTATGAGACAATCTTAGTGGGACGGACCGAAATGATAAAATGGGACAATCATAGTGGGACGGACCGAAATGATAAAATGGGACAATCATAGCGGGACGGATGGAGTAACAATTAACAAGTTCACATTCAAAAAATGAAAAGAATAACATGGAGTAGAAAAATAAAATGAAATAAAATAAAAAAGGAAGAGGTGGCATGGCCATCCTGTGATGGTTCTTTTGTACGTAGATGGCCAGATGGCCGTGGGAGGGATATAACGGAAGTTTAAATGTCACGCACGTGAGGGTAAAGCAGCTTATGGAAAAAATTGAGTTCCATCTTTTAATAACAATGCACAACATCTCATTCATTAAGTGTGTTGACATAATTCGGGAATGCAGATCCTCAGCTCATTCATAATTATAATGTTGTTAGACGTAGTATTCTTTTTGTCCATCTTTAATTAGTCATTTTTGACGATATCAAATCAATGAAATAAAAGTTTGATCGATACTATGTTGACATAGAGCTAAAAAATGACGAAGGTAATAAGTGGATATAACTAACGAAAGCATGATAAGCAACCCTAACATTCTTTATTTGCGTGATACAACTAAGGATGGCAATGGGGTGGGGGTTCACTCCCCCATCCCTCGCCTCGTGTCTAAAAAATCGCCCCCACCCCCGCCACATCCCCCACTACTACTCGACCCGCCCCATCCCCCGCCCCGACCCGTGAGACCCACGGGTACCCAACGGGGGAAGTACTCGTCAAAAATTAACATCATCTTAGACTCTCACAATTTTTTAAAAATTAAACAACACTTCTAGTAGCCAAAAAAACTTTTACTTTTTAAGTGTCAATGTAATCTTACATCCCATTTCAAAATCTAGAACACATTATACACGTTTTAATTTAGTCATTTTTATCAAACTCTAAATTAGCATTGATTAGCTCTATAATATTTTCTTAAACCCTGCATTCAATCAATCATGGTCATTTGACGGCATCAATCACCAAATTTTAACAAGTACTACGCATATTTTACTACGTAAGTCATAATAGTATGTGGCATGTGATTATTCTGATTTATACTACTCGGTAAAATATAATGTGAGCTCAATTCTCAAACCCAAAAAAGTAATGTAATGGTTCACAAATCAAATAAAGTGGTTGCTTAAGGCTTAAAGAAGCTAATTTTGACACCGGTATCAATGACAATGTAGAGTCCAGCTGAAACGAGGATCCCACTAAGGCCCATACCGCTAAGGCCCAGAACCCAGTTGACCCACCACATCAGCCCGTACGTCTTCGGCCTTTTCACCTTAAGCCACATGAAACACGGGTAGGAAAACGTAACCGGCAAAGCAATCCCGCCGATGAGACCGGCGAAGCTACCCAAGAAGGGAACGGCGACGGCCACAAAGAACGAGAAGAACCCGAAAAACGCCCGGAAAATCCCCCGGAGCCACCACGGGCAGGCCCGGTTGCACTTTTTGGTGTAAACGGACTCCATGTCGTCGAAAACGGGCATGGCGTAGATCTGGAAGGAGCTGAGAGCGTTGACTATGACGCAGCTGCTGATGAGGCCCAGGACTCCCCTGGCGGCGTCGTGGCGGTGGAAGGCGTAGAGGGCGGTCAACATGCCGCTGCCGGTGGGTGGGATCGATTGACCGTAGGCCCAGTAGCCACCTATCGCGAGTGGGAACAAACAGAGTGCTACCAGAAGGTATGCGAACTTCACCCCACGCCACATGGGCACTCTTGACGGCTGCTTTTCACTTGATGGCATGGTTGCCTGAAACGCCAAGCTCAGTCAGCAACCAATGATGGAAAGGTGGGACCAAAATTTAATTATAGAAATTATTTTACGAAAAAATGTCAAAAATGATAAAATATAGTTAAATAATATTACAGAAATGACAATGAAAAAGTAAATATTATAGAACCGATAACTTAATGATCTTAAAAGCCACAGATATCGAATCAAAATATTTAGTATGTAGTACCAATTTTCAAATCAATTTCTCCAAAACCAATTTTCTCTTGACTCTATACTCTATTTCTCTATTTTAAAAAATGAACTAATTAAATTTCACTCACCAAGCACAATGAATTGAACTTATTAATTGTTTATGTAATATTCAAAAGTCCAATGAATTGAACTAATTAATTTTTCAAATAAGTATTCATAAGCCAATGAATTGAATTAAATAATTTTTCAAGCAAATATTCAAAAGTCCAATGAAGTCAACTAATTAATTTTTCAGTCCAATATCCAAAATCCCCATGAATTGATTTAATTAACTTTTCAGACTAATATTCAAAATTCAAATAATTTGAAATAATTAGTTTTTCAAACTAACATTCAAAACTCCAATGTAAAAACTGATGGAGTTCAATTTAAAGGAATAATTCTTTCTCTTCTTTGGTGTTACAAAATTTGGACAGTTTTAAAAAATTATTAAAAGGTGGATTGAGAGTTATAAAAGGACTGGTGTCGAAGGGGTTTCCGTTGGACTACCAGAACTTGTGTTTAGAATCCGGTTGTTGATGTTTATTCCTTCAACCCTTGGACCCAACACGTAAGCCCAAAGATTTCGAATGGAGTGAGTGTATGAATGTCTAGCCTAACAACTATGAAATGGATCAGGAAACAAAAGTGATAGCAGGCAATGTAAATAGGTATTATTAACTTCGTAATAACTCCCCTAAATACAATCTACTTGCTAAAAAGGGCACGTCGGCCGTTCGTCTTACAAGGCACTTAGAAATGCTGCAAGTAAGAATGCTGAAGCTAGTATGCTAAGAATAGAAAGTTGCCAACCCTTTACAATGAAATAAATGCTTCTATTTATACCCGCCAATGGGCAGGTAGCTGTACTGACGTGGCAGCCTGTGGACCGCTGGTGTCCCAACTACCAAATCTTTAGCATTAAATGCACTTCCCGCCAGAATCTAGGTTTCCCGCCGGATCAGTGGGGACGTTCGTCCACCCGGGAAGTGAGTTGGATTGCTCCAAGTGACCCTTGAGGGATATTGGCCGTTCGTCTCCTGGCCTTGATAGATACTCACCATGTGCATTGGGTTTTCTCCGATGACTACAGGCTTGCTCTGGGGACGTTCGTCGCCATCCCTGGTGGCCCGTGGCTCTGCTCCTTGTCCCTGCATAGACGTTCGTCGGAATGAGCTGCTGGGCCTGAGTCCTCCAACATCAGACGCTCGTCCATCCTTAAAGAACATGGGCCTGTGGGCTGGCCTAGTTTCTAGCTGGACGCTCGTCTAGCAAAATGGGTTAGTGGGCCGGACCTCGGCTTGGGCCCTTAACCCAACACAAGTCCCCCACTTCTGATGTTCTGAGCATGCGCAGGACATAAGGAAGTATGAACCTCCCCGAAGTAGACGTCCGTATCTTGGTACTTGTGTTCATTGCATCTTGGTGGAAACGTACGCTCGTGGCCATGGTGCTTGACAGCTGCTGACGGTTCAGGAAACGAGGTGACGGCTGATGTTACGGCGGCGCATTTTCCCGAGGAAGTGTCATCATTACGTTCCCATCCCACGCACAGCGCGTGGGCCGGAATACGCTCCTTGCCACGTGTCAGCCCTTCGTTGGTTTCTCCATCGGTGTTTCCCCTATAAATGCTGGGTTTGCCCTCTGAATTAGGGTTCCCAATTTCTGCCCTCTTGCTCTCGATTTTCCGCAGCTCTTCAAGTTTCCTGAATTCGGCCAACCATACCTTTGTAAGGTAATTTCCCCCCTCTGTTTCTT